CCTGGCAGCATCCCAGCCCTCGTGCGACCTTCGGGTGCCATGGCAGTTAAACACTGAAAGGGTGCTACAGCTGAACGATATCATCTCAGTACCTGTGCGTTTTACGACCATCCAACATGCAGGTCACACAATACCTAGAGGTGCATTGGCAAAACTCTATTGGCTGTACCTTGCCCATAGCCTGACCAAAACATTTACAACGTGTTTTTTTCACTCCCGGCTGAATTAGACACGACGCTTACGAAGAAGTTCTAACATGCTTTGGTGCTTTCTAAATCAATTCATTTCTGTATCAGCTCTTGTACTAAAGGACGCTGAGCTTGTGAAAGTGTTGTGGAAAGTTTAAGGTCCAAACACAGCGTAGTGAAATAAGATGCTAGAATCCGATGATTCGGTTTCTTTGACCAAACTGTTTCAAGGATTTTGACAATCAGTTGGGTACGGACCAAGTGCAACGTCATTTGTGTTCATCATTGTCCTCTGATTGCTGCGTTCCTGAGACCATTTGACAGTCAGGTGCGACCGGCACGTATAAATGTGTTAGCCCTGTGCCCGTGTATTTTGGTTGGGGTGCGTTATTGTTGAGATTCCTTCTTGACTCATAGCCACTGTCCACCAAGGTATGAAGTAACTCCCCGCCAGATAGACATAATGCTGGCTCCAACACCACAGTCGACGCAATTCGGTTGTGTTTTGATCTTATTCAACTGGTATCTTCACGTGAGATCATCCCGAATAGAAGAATATGGCCACATCTGAACCTTGTCAACGGTCAAAACAAAGTTTTTACTGTGCAGCTGTGAAACATTATCAAACACATCAAACGTATGTGCGCTAATTTTGAGCTCATCTCACCAATATTCTTTATGTCACTTTATTTTGTGGTGCTTGGTTTGTCGTGACCTTTTTCTATGACCTCAGTTTGTCCCGTGAACGATATATTTGTATAGCGACCCATCCCGTACAACGTTTCCCCGCGATCCCTGTGAGATTGTGACGCCTTGTTTCACGTGGACCGAGTAACATCAAGTCAAACGAATTGAATCAGTGAGATTCCTCTTCAAATATGATGCCGGACAACTAGAGTGAATCCGCTCAGTATGAAGGGACGTGAACCACCTGGTTTTAATCTGTTCTGTTTGCCCTGACAACTGTCATTACGCATAGGATCTGAGTCAATATGCTGAGTGGTTCGGTTAAATTGGATTTATTTACAGTCCTCTGTGACCTTATTGAAGTAATCACTCGACCGTAACACAAGACCAGTCAATTGCTCACACGTATGACCCGACGCTAAAAAGCTGATGATGCTAAACTGGTTACGTGGTACAGGCCTAAAATTTCAAGTCAGTTCAATGCGGCTCTCTACTTTTATCGTTTGTTGGGCCTTGATCATTAATGCTGAATGAGTCGACTGCTCTGGTCGGAGTTCTTTTGGCAGAGGTTCGCCCAAATTACTATGTTGTGAAGCAGGCGATTGGAAGCAAACAACTGCTCCGCGATCGTCGCCTCACACCCAGATTACCGATATAATTTTCTACACTTTTTATCTCCACTTCTACGTTACATCAGACTGGATGGCCGTCAAATCAGTTGATCTGAACGAATATCGTATATGCCCTTGTTTGACACTTCAGCTTTACAGTTAATGTACTTTGTGAGCAATGAAGATAGCACAGATTGCAGGTAGAAATACTGTGTCAGTCTATGTCTTAGTCGTTGACACTTGGTTTATTTGTCATCCGTCATGTCGGAGAAGCGCTTGCACAGAAAGGCAAATCAAGCAGGTTTTGTGTAAACATTTCTGCAATAACAAAAGTAATAATTGCTAGACGGAGTGAACAATAGTTAGTCATTTCTTATCCAATCAGACATTTCAACGCGGTACGTATGCCTTGTATAGCGTAGTTTCTGGTCCATATCCAGTGAACTGCGTCAACCTATGGTTGATCTTGAATGCAGCTAATTTAAACAAACACGCGGTGGACGCATGATCCAATGAAAGGAAAGACGCGAAACTTAAGACTAGAACGCGAATGTAAGTGCATTATGGCCCCAAGAGCCGGAGATTCATTTCTCCGCTGTTACCCATAGCCAACCGATTAGCTCTCGTAATGGGAAGCAAACCAATCGAATGACGTTCAGATGTTTGCTTTGCGAGCGCGGTCCACGCAAGACGCTCACTTAAGAGTAGGCTGTCTAGTAGAACCAAAGCGTGGGGGTATGTGGTCACATCAGCCGACTTGCATTATCTCAGTGCGGCTGACTAACATCTGTCATCAATTGGGAACTGTTAATAGATAGCTTTTCTGGACGGAGGAAGGCAAGTAAGCTCTTGCTCGCTGAGTCAAGTGATGATGCGTACACTGTAGTGCCAAAAGCCGATTATTTAACTACCGGATTGATATTCTACTGAACTGTTCTCACAACAGTAGCAAAGGTACATCCACAGCGGTGTAGAGCACGTAACCATTCTGGACAAATCCGAGACACTGAGTGTTCATGCTGAACCCCAGTCAGGCTACCAGACTAACGTGGTTAGCGATGTCTATGAATTAGATCCGTGCTCCGCTTTGGCATTATTAATCCAATTAGAAAATGGTCACAAAACTATACATGCTTCATGAATGATGGTCAGGACATTGGAACAGGAAGTTTAATCCAGTCTCTGCTCAGTTCTGATAGATAGAAGTGTCTAGTCACAGGATTTTAAACAATGTACAAAACACTTTAGCATATCTGTAAGTTTAATGCAATTCAGGACTTCTATGGACATTCACAGAGTAAGCGGTGCGACAATATTGCAAACGTACTCCCGCAACGCTAGTCGGCGAAAGTCGCGCTTGCTTCGCGAGATTGCATTTTCTGCTATCCGAGAATGCCACACTGATCCAGATCGTTAGCCGAAGTTTGTCGCACACGTTCCTCTTTCGGGATAAACACTGACTCACGGAATCGCGTCTGCATAACACTCAATAAATGCAGCATACATGGGTGCGAATATTGAACCAAGTAAACGTTGGTTGGTGGGTTTACTGTGGGATAGGTTGGCTCTTCCTCCCTACCCCCAAAGAACCGATTGGATACACACCTCATAGAGATATTGAAGGATTTATTCCTTCCCCCCTCCCGTCGATAATTTGACCATTGATGAGTGGCTCGTCCTCTTTTTGAGAAGTGTTCTCATGATGGATCAGTGCAGAAATTTCGAGGGTAAACTTTTCATCGTAGCCTGTTGAAGTATTTCTAAATTCGGAATCACCACAAGCGACAGCAGTTTTGCGTGTTAATTATTTGCTAACGTAAGTGAAGATATACGGCCCAAATCTTCCTAAACTTACTCCCGCGCGACGTCTATGCGTGCGGCTATATCTAACTGCTGAAAAAAGCTCCTTATGATTGGCGAAAGGTACTTTTTAGTCTGGTCGCACTTTCCCAGAGTACACTCACTAGTGTCGGTACCCATTTGTTCCCTTAACATACAGTGTGGTTTACTTTTGTGGAGATTTTGTCCTGTAAGTGAAGCCAATCTATGCTGAAAGGCCGATAAGCACTGTACAGCTGTTTCATCCTTGTTGGGAATCGTCAGCAGTGCGCATCTCGCGAAACCACAGAGTTTAGAACCCGTGACCTTCTGGTCAGTGGTTGGAAACTTAACCGTTCGGCCACGAGCGGCCAATCAACAATGCGATTAACTAGCACCTCTCGTGGCCGAACGGGACGAACTCTCCACAATAAATCCCAAATCTCCTCATACTACCAACAATTGTGGTTTATGTTGATCAATTTATGGTGTAGAATGCATCTGTCATTGGAATCCCTCAGCCGCTGTTGGACTGTGTGTGTGTGTGTGTGTGTGGAAGTACCACATAGAAATCTCAATGAGTGACGCGTAACGTTGCTTATGTGAATGCCACAATTTTGTCGGCCGTTAACCCCTACTTTGAACCTTCAAGTGGATAAGCACGGTGCCAGTGTGTGGCGACAAAACGAAGCACTATTTTGTATGGCCCCATTGTCATGTGGATCCAAGTACGCCTTTCCCTTGTTCGTGGTTGATCACCTCACTTACAAACAACAGACCCATCACACCAATTCCTTGGGCTTCCATGTCCTAGGACCGGGTAGACGGATCTAATTAAACAACTTGTTCATTGTCCTGAGCGTCACTCTGGAAGCTCGAGCGGTCGCGTGGCTATCTCATTATTGAATTGGGAGTTAGGGGGCTGCTTTTTCATTGATAAAACGCAGTACATGTGTGATCCACATAGCCGCTGCTAACCAAAAAATCGTCACTGAAGACATTCACATTCACGCCATTCGTGCAATTCGACGGAGGTTCAGTTCACATGCTCAGTGTGTCCGGTTTGTCCAGCACGGTCACGTGCTTTCCTGTTTCTGAAGGAAGATGCAGAGACGTCCACGATGTTCACGACTATGAACCACCATACCTTGTTGTTCTTTGGGCACGAAACATCCGTAAAATCATTATTCGGGCCCTTTCTTCCCACCACCACCACTTGTGATGCGGAAAACTACTGCCGTTGCAACTCGTACGAGTTTCCATTTTCCTGCGAGCCTACTGGCACTGGAAGTCTGTGTGCAGTTTGTTTGACCTCAGCCCTCCATTTTGAAGTGCCACGGATCTTAATTCACATCCACTCTGCACGCATGACATAATGTCGGTATTCATGTCGCTTAGTTGGTAGTCCAATCGTTCACCGAGCATAGGTGTTGGGCGTTCAGAGTTCAAACACCTGAATGGCCAAGAATATTCACTATTGATGAAGTTCAAGGACAGCAAAATCCGAGTTTAGTGCTCTCCCTATATTGTGAACCAACCAGATCAGTAGGAAGGTTATTCAAACGGGGTTAACGTGCCGACAAACTATCCGGTTGTCTGTGGAACGGCCATCTGTTTACTCACATGGTTCCGACCTATTCCACGGCTGGTGACGCATTTCATTAGAAAGCCCTCTTACATCATGCCTCTCCAAAACACTGGGCTACCGGGTTTCCAATATCTCACGCATTTCGAACCCCAGCAACACAAGAAACACAACCACTATCATCACCGAGCTCTGTATGCGCCACTGTCGGCTTTTCTCTCTCCTGCACCAATTAGATGCTGCTTTCACAAAGGGCATCGTGAGATGAAAACCCATGGTTCCCTTGATTACGCTTTGACTTAAACATTAGGATTAAGAACTCTGGAACCGCGGCTATCGCCGTGTTTTTCGCCGTTGGAGGCGATGACTGATGTGTGGCCACCCTGAACCCAAAGGCGCACACCTTCACGCTGCTGATTCCAAGCTGACAGAATCGAAAAAATATCATATTTCTGTGGAGTTTGGCGGAACCATAGTGCGTATGCTGACAGGTCTCTTCATGGCCTGTATCGAAAAACGGACACTAGGAAACTTGAAGCTGCGTGTTTCGTGTTCGCCCAACTGACGATATTCAGCATGCTGTTTCATCGTGGTTCAACTGATTTGTCTTCTTTCAGGCAGATGGTTTGTTCGATGTGCTGTGGACAGTGCATAGGACTGCACCACAGGTTTTTCTTGAGAGAACACCCTTCAGTGTTTTCGGTTTCGTGAATACCGTGCCTTTCTGCCGCGCCCAAAAGAAACCATTGAATGCGTTCCCACTTTTATTCTTCAACACACCTTATCAAACGACTTGCCGGACAAATCACGTATTCAAACTTTCACATTTAACATGTTCATCTGTTTGTCGTCCGACAGTAATTCACGTACCCTCTAACCACCATTTGTATGTACACGTTATCCCCGTAACCCCATCACCTCTTATCAACCGGGTACCGTCTTCCAATACACTAACCATGGTCCAAACTTCGCGCGAACCTGTTTTTGCCACTAGTCACCCGCGTATTCCGTTCCTGTTCTTGCGCGAACCCCGCCACTGCTTTCAGATTCTAGACGTGAGTCGTCTCGCAGTGGTCCATTAGTAATGCGAGGGGTTCCTCAGTCCGTAGATTACCTCTCACAATCAACTAGCGAAAATATGTTTGTCTCCTTCCTTCATCTCTAGTGTTTGTAACACAAAACAAATCTGGTACCTGAGGTTGAATTCAAGCTTTTCCCCTCACCTTTCTGTTGGGACCAGTTAGGTTCTGTTCGGGAGTTTTCCGGCCTAGCCTACACATGTAATGAGCTAGTGTGGTTTTTTTTTACTCAGGCATGTCAGCCATGAAACAAGCCTCGTCCAAGCGCGCTGCACCACCCGGTCGCCTACCTACCATTCGGTCCAGTGATGGTAAGCTCTCAAAGTCTATATTTTGTGATCTTGCGTACTCAGCGAAATGCCCATGCAGACATTTCACAGGGGGCCAGTGATCTCGGGCTGAAACCCTACCATTCCCTTTGTGTACCCTCCGTCTTAGTCCACACACACTGCATGTTTGTCATGTTGTGGGATCGGCACCGTAATTGGTTGTGCTTTCTCTTACCTGTCTGTTTTATGTTTGTCTGTCTACCTCTCTCTCTACACCGCTCGATGGTTGGTGCAGCTCTCAGTGACATGAGTTGGCTACTGGTGTGTCATGGCTGTGTTGACCGTAAACACTATCCCTATTCGCATGCTTACCAGTCTGAAACCGCATTGTACCTCGGTAGGTTGGTTTGTGTTCGCTTAGTGCTGTTGATTGTCGGGATTTTACCATTGTACATGATATCGGCAGTCTCGGGGTTCCCGTAACTAACTGTGGTCTTTGGTTCATATAGAAAACAGCCGCAATTCTCCTACTGTTTTCAATCATACGTTTTGTCAAAAGAGACATGAAGGCTAAGATACACTGAGGTTATCACACTCAGTAGCAATACTGATCAGTGGTTCGCACATTCATTCGTGTGTTGTCGATAGCTTCGATCCGTATTGCTCATTGTGGTTGCCGCCGCCACCTTAGTGTTGGACCACACTATCCCACTTCTGCGGGAGGACAAAGGTGACATCCTCTAGCACAACTCATCCTGGCGTCTTTCTGGCTGCAGTGCTTATAATTTTCCCATCCAAATTTGCCACACCCATTGATCGCGGTGGTTTTAACCTCATTCATTTTCACTGTACTGTAACGTTGGTTCTATTGTAGCTGGTTAATGTGCTGCAATACGTCTCCTCAACTCGACTATTGGTTCTTCCGATTTGAGTGGCTTCTGTCGGTTGTTTTGATCCATTCTGTTTGGAGTGTCAATGTTTTAAAACCGATATTTCTCATCTTTTACTTCTTATACGTAAACCTCATACCCCAAACGACTGTCAGTACATTCATTTCTGACGAGTTACATTCCTGGGCACATTCATAACTAACCTGACAAAGCTTGTGATAGCTCAGTGGTTAAGGTGTGAACTTACTGACCACAAGGTTCGGCATCTCCACTGTTCCTGCCCAGGCTTAAACAACCTGACGGTATCCCAGCCCTCTCACCTCTTTCCGGTTGCACGTCAGCTAAGCACTGAAAGGGTATTACAGCTGGACAGTTTTTTTTAGAAAATATGAACCTGAGAGTATGCGTCAAAACTATCCTTTTCCACCACAGTGAGTGGATTCTGATCGGATATTTTTCTCTCACTCTCTTTTTGCCTGACACAACTGCAGAAGAGGAAGAAGGGTAAGTCTATTTCCTTCTCCATTTTTCCATATGCTATTAGGAAATTTTGGTATGATTTCGTGTATAAATTGAATAGTTTTCATCAGGATGGTTTTGGATGGTAATTCGCAGATCCCTTCCTCCCGTGCAGGTATAGACGGTATAGGTCCCGAGACCGTTCCTGGAACAGCGTAGTTGCCAGTCGTCGCTGTTGTATGTTAGGGGCCATTCTGTGTGCCTCCTTATCTAGCTTGGCTATTCAATGCTTGCTACTCACCGTAAACACTTGGCAAGAGGTTATTGAGTGGCCGTCAAGTTTCCGCTAAGCACAATAAAGTGTCAGTCCTAACACTATGTCCTCTGGTTCACCACAACGGAGCTGTACAAGGCCGATGTGGTTTCGCTTACCCAGACAGCTTAGATACTGCCGAATTCACTGTAGCATGGGATCCATTATACCGTAAGCCGATAGTTTCCTCGGAATTTACGCCATTTTGCATGTGATTGATGGCTTGTTAACAGTCTACCTCAAACTTCATCCTCTCATTGAAATGTTACATCCAACCGTCTTTGGTGTGCAGCAGGTTTGCACCCAGATTCGTCTGAGGGAGTTGGCCTAAGGCTTCGGCTTTCTAGACCGTCAGCTGTCATCAACCGATTAGGGACATCAATACAGAGCAGCCGCCACCGAACCCATACTTTGCAGTTGACCTCATGATTTGCTGTCATTGGATCACACTGTGTCAACCGCATTGATTGGGTTAACTTTCTGTCCATCCGGAGCAGTCTAACCTCACTACTAAGTAAATTCAAAAGCTCTATCCAGATGACTTAGTGGTTAGAGCGCGAAGTTACTGACCGGAAGGTCCGTGGTTCGAACCCGGTTTCTGCCTCTCGACTCTCCCTGTCTAGGCTTGGGCAACACGATAGTATCCCAGCTCTCATGCTTCCTTCGTGTGGCCCCGGAAAGGGTGTTACAGCTGAACGATTTACGAATACCCAGAATCAGGAGCTAGTCACACACGGACAGCTGACATCGGTTAGCCCAGTCTCAGTCTGCTTACCTACCACCAACCATTAGTCATAGCAGCGAGAAAATCAGGCATCGATATCTCTTCACGAGACAGGCTTTCGAGCCTCAGCTCATAGGCCATCGGTCGATCAACTAGTGATCCTACGCGAATTACGAGGTGGATGTTACTAGACTTCGCACAAACTCCTCTGATGTGGCAATACTGATTTCACCATAACTACACGCACATTGGTATACAACTTATGAAACAGAAACATTTCGACAGTACGAGTGGCGCGTCAGGTTTCCGTTTGTCTTATTACTGGGAGTAGGGTCGCTTGAGCGGATGACCACATATGACCAAATACAGCACGTGACTTGCGTCATTGGAGTGTATTTAAATGGTCATCAATGTGGTTGAAACTTTCGCTTCTACTGAATACTCGAGTTCTTTTTTAAGCCGCGGCGCATTGTAAATCGATACATTTCTTTAGGTAGTCGATAGAAATCTGTTCATCGAAGTGTGTTTTTTAGGAAGAATTCGAAGGCCCAAATGCTCCTGTTCCTGTCGAATGGAATTCTTTCATAAACTATGGGGTGAAACTGGATGGCGGTCTAGTCCTCGTGGGGTCTAGTGATACAGATATCGAAAAACTTTCGTAGACTGTGGTTAACTCGGAGAGTATTTCACGAGAAATGCCTTCTCAAAAATCATGCACTGGGTGGGTGCAAGTTGGCTGGAAAAGGTGCTTTAACAATGACGAGATCGCGTGGTTACCCAGCTCAACCAGCAGACTAACGATTTCCAGATTCTAAATGGCAAGCTGAATGACTGACGGGTATGCTCGGTGATTAGTGGTCACTGCCAAGGTTTTTTAGCATGGATCTTGGTATACCAAATGAGCGAAAAGTCATACTTCGCATTGGATTCCTTCAATAGCGTACTTATCAGTAGGCTGATGTCTATCTTAAAATAACGTATACCTTTCGTCGTCAAATTTTGCTCTGTACTCTGATAACACAATTTGATGTGATCCTACTATGCTGCATACATTTCCGCTTCAGACATTCTCGCCTTCCGGGCGTCACTCGTCCAGGTGAGTCACCTTGTTCTCACTCCTTGGCATCCACCACACTAAGTAGGGATAGTGTTTTTGTGTACTTTTTCCTTGCATTTTCTCACGCGTCGGAGAGAGAACGCCAAAAGTGGTCTTTCCGGAAGAGCAGCTGTTTCGGGGTTATTAGGTTACCCTACAAACTATATCTGTTTTCCCGTTGAAAAGTTTTTCGTAAGCTTCTGCATTGATGCGCCTAACCTACACCGGTATATTCGATAGGCTGAGATTTACATGATGAACAGTCTTTTGTGATAGAAAGACGCATGCACAAAGCTGTAGGCCTTCAGTGAGATCGGTGTGCTCAGTACCCGTGTGCACAGTACTTTCAAGTGAAGCTCCAACGCATGCAGCTGCTCTGTTATGCATTGTACTTGTGACGTGTTCTCAGTCGCCTCGAAGAATTTATCCCTTTTCGAAGGGAAAACTCTTCAGATGGCTTTCGAAAAGAGTCTTGATATCGGCTACCATAACTTGTCCACCTGACACGCCTGTTTTCAGTCGATAGTCGATTCTACTCTGGCGGCATCACTGGTTTACGTTACTTTCCTGTAAGACAGTGTTTACAAGTGTGACTTGTTGAAATTTCAAGTAAGATAAAGCGGGTTTCTGGGATACAGAACCCTGTCGAAGCGTATTCCATTTTTTTCATGGTACGCGGTACATCATCAGCTAGCCCCTGTTTCCGAATTCGTTTAGCGTAACGTGCTACGACAACCTTTCCTATACACACAAATACCGATGCCATTTTGCTCGCTCGATGGCAAGCACAACTTTGCTGATTCATTTGTCAGGGGTGGGTCTTAGATAAATTCAAGTCACTAAAATATCTTCGCCAGTTTTAGAGCTACTGATTGTTGTATAATCACATCAGTTACTTCTTTCATCTCACACCCCTCATCTCTTTTTCTCACTGTCCGACTGCCCGTAATGCACTGGACCACGCTCTCATTTGATCGGCGCTTTCCTCTCTTTCTTTTCTCTTTAACTGCCCTGCCTACCCTCGGGGTTCCGCGGGTGACTAATCCGGTCCGTTTCACAATTTAATGCTGCTTGTGTTTTCCCGTTTATTCGCTTATCGGCTCGTGTGCTCCGACCGATCCACCACCTAAACGCTTTGAAAAAATAACCCCTCGTTTGGGAGCTAAACCAACACTTGTTCTTTTTGGCATAAACTCCTCTTTCACCCATCCGCGTGTGGTGTTTCATGTGTCATCTCCGACCGCTTTTTTGTTCCGTTCGCTTCTGATCGTGACTGGTCGGTATTTGTGTCTTTATGGTTCGCCAATGCTGAAGCTGTGCTGTCCTCATCCACTAGCAGAAACGGATCAACTCAGTCGGTCTTCTACCCTTCGAGCACAACTGAATCGAATTCGCTCCTCATTCCAAGCTCTCTTGTGTGGAACCGTCCCGCGTCAGTCGAGATCAGTTTCCCCCCAGCGTCACAAGTGCGAAGCGGACACTACGGGGCCGACACGGTTTCTCATCCAAGTCCAGAATTCGATGATTCAACTGGAGGTACAATGGGACCAAATCGTCACGGTCAACAAGAATATCACGAACTGTCGACGGCGCGTCGGCACGGTAGTTCGTGCGAACTCAGTTTGCGGTCCGGCACAGTTCAATACCCTTCCCTGCCGCCTAACACTGACAGAAGATCAACTAGGAGGCGAAATAGCTCTAATCGACTCACCGAGTATCAGCGAAACGCTCGATCGCACACCCAGCTCAACCAGTGTTCGCGAACAAGAGGACAACACTCTGGACGAATTCCAACTCACTTGCTGAGCGAACTAATCCCAGACCTCAATCTGTCTTCAAGCTATTTAAGTGTGGCCAGTGTACTAACTACATCATCCGAAAGCGATGGTGGTGATCGTCAGCGTGCTTCCAGATCATCCGTACATTCACATTTAGGCGAACCTACCCTCGTCACTGGCCGTTGTATCGTCACTCCCGAATATCCCCGAGTCGTCTACATATCTGATTCTAATTCAAAAGTAAATGTTGCTGTCGACCCCCAAAAACCACCAGTACCGTGCACTAACCACCGAACCCACACCACAGGGTCCCCAAATCAGGAGTCGCGACAGGTGGTGAATGGAGTACCCAAAACTGAGTCTCATAATCGCTATGCGAAGCGGACTGAAACGGTCCGTCGGACTCCTGCGAAAATGGTCTTCGATTCCTTACCGGCATCATTGACCAAACGACGCCTACCCGTAGACAGATCACTGGGTGTGCAAGGAAATGAGATGCCCGCGATACCTGCGTCGAAAAGTTATTCAGGGTTAACGGGTGCGGATTCACTGGAGTACTTCATGCAAGACGCTGTCCTTCGTTTCCGCGAAACGGCTTATGACCCTTACGGGTTGGCTCGGAAGAATCTGTTAAATCAACTCAACACAACCAGAGCGGCCTCCGCGACGTGTGTGAATAGAAATTCGGCCGACTCAATGTCCTCCTCGGGGAGGTGTTCCCTAATGTCAGCACAGAGCACATCACGTGTACAGGCTTTGGATCGAAGGCGCAGACGTCTATCCAGACGTGAAATCCAGACGAACTCGTCCGGTGCGGCCTAGCGTCGTTCTGGAGCTGTAGATTCGAATCTCTTCGAAACTAGTACAATGACCCGCTCTGTCTTATTCGTCTTGTGGAACAGCTTAAACTGCTCTTGGTGAGCCCAACACGTTTCATGGTTACCCCGCTCCTCACTCACACTCACAAATTTGCCTGCATGTGTGGCTGTGTGTTTGCAGTGTATAAATTTGGTGAGTGTAATACCGCTTAATCTAACCCTCGGTTGCAAAATGTTTACATCCTCCGGTCAACCCAGTCCATCTATATCACGTTTTCTGCCCATATACCCCCTCGAGTTTACGCGGATCAGTCAGCCAGGCTGTCGGCATCAAATAGGAATAACTCTCAGCGTATTCGGCCAACCAGGGTGTTGAAACACACTACTACGGCCAAATCAAGTTAGTTGTGAAACGGAACAATCTATGGGGAAAAAGCCCCCTTAGTATTCGGCTATTGAAATTGTTATATCTGACTGCTGTCCCCGCCCCACTGCCTAGTGCCGGAAAAAGACTCACCGACAAGGAACACAACAGCTTTATTGCGAATAAGCGAGTGCGAAAGTACAACGGCCTCACGCTATTTTATTATTGTCTGGCCTTGATCTAACGCTGTCTGACCGGTGTCGCAGTAGGTTCCGGGCATTCTGTGGTTCGCGCTGTCTGACCGGTGTCTTGTGGAGTTGAGAGTCGCAGTAGGTTCCGGGCATTCTGTGGTTACTTTCAGGAATCTGACCTTCCTCATAGAAATACATCGTTCTGACAAAGTTTTCGAAAAGTTCCCATCTATTTGTACCGTTCCGCCGTGATTTTCGCGTTTTACTCCGCGCTAGTGTAAAAGCTGCTACACAGTCATCCTGCTGTAAAACTCTTTAAGCGCTTCAGACGTGGTACCCAAGTCTAGACTGAACGATTCAATTCAGTAAATGAATAGACACGATTTTTTGATTGCGCTGTGTGCACGGACACGTTATCTTGATTAAAATCATGCCTCCGTCTGAACATACAACAACAACTGAGAGGGGGTAGTTACTGGTGTCCTTCTTTGCGAACCCGTCACCTGTTTACTTCTACGAAATCACTCCTCAACCACTACAGAACCACCATTCTGACTTCGGCCACTGTATACAGTTCATATTCTTTCCTGGGGTCATACTTATAAACATCTGGACAGTCCAGATTAAACTTTGTCTCGATCAAACTCCCACTGGCCACAGTCTTCTGTTCAGCTTGGTCTCTTGTTTATATAGACTGTGTTCACTAACCAACGTTACTTACGACCGCTTGTGTGAGATATATCCCTGAAACTTTAAACTCACCGTTTAAAAGGATTCGTTCCTGTTCCACCACTGTTTTACAGATATTATATCCAAGCTACCACCCTAACTCGTTTGGACTGGACTAGCGTTCTGTACTGCAAATGATATTCCTACAGGTTTCCCGTTCAGTCTCGAAGGTTCACACGTGTTCAGCGGCCTGGTTAAACTCATTACAGGTTTGAGAGGCCCTAAGTTGAGGAGATCTATGATGTTTACTGCACACCACATAGATAGCTATTGGGCTCTTTGTATTTTACTAATCTCTATTCTTTTTCACGAGATTAGTCTGGTGTGTTCCGCCGCGCCGGAATCCAGTATTTACCTGGAAGTCGTGCTAGCTTCCGCAGGAATTCCTCACTGGTGGATATTTTGGTTTGTCTCTCCCCCTCACACTTCCTAACCCGAGTACGCTCATCCAAACGTCGCTAACTGCCCGGATACCATACAATCCTGCGGTGATTGGTAGCCTATCTTGTGATTCTTTTCCGCCGAATAATGCGTGCAGGCTTTTTGGGGGTGGCTTACCGCCATCCATTCAGTTTTGACCGTGCTTATTTTCCTTCCAAATCGCTTCTTTTGTAGTTACGTTTTCTCCACGACACAAATGAAAGCGCTGAAGCCGCTGGGAACAAAATCGCGTTCTCCGTCTATGTGTAAGTGTGGCAATCGTTCAAACCGGCCGATTCGACTGGATGATCTCTTCTACCATTCCGTTAAGGACATTCTTTAGATAGAAGACCGTTCGCCTATTCGTTTTGTCCTTCAGGCTGCTTCGTTCTGTTCCCCTACATGTTTCGTGATCTTCTGAGCAGCCATTTCATGCCGTCAGCTTGTCTGAGCCTTTTGGCTCTTTGGCATTTCGGTTCCTCCACCCCCCTCTGGTTATTCACATCCGTTGTGTTTTGTTCTTTCTCATATCCTGTGGATCGGTTAAAACTTGACGCGTGCACACGCACATAATTCCTGGTGGCTGGTTTGCTTCTATTCTCTGTACACATTCCCGTTGACGATCTGGTGATGCTGTTTTTTTGTATTTGCTTTTCTTCCTGGTGGTCCCACTATTAGCGCCCCCATTCTCACCGCTACTCTTCGGGACGGTATCCTATAGTCAACTCGTTTCCAATATAACTTGTTCAATACGTGATGGACCCGAGTACACACACACAGTTTGCTGACCGTCAGGTCGCTTCAGTTCCAGTTGTCTTTCAGTCTGGTCTGTGCAAATTATATCTTGCCCGGATCCCCTCAACTGACTATGCAATCGTATGTAGCAAAACCTTCATCTCAGCCCTTTTGGTCTTTCGTTCGTATGAGCTCTCTCGCTCTCCCAATCCCATATCTCATTTATTTGTGTTTCGGCTCGTAACTGACACCTTGAAACAGCACCGCCAGGCGCTTCAGTTCCAGTTGTCTTTCAGTCTGGTCTGTGCAAATTATATCTTGCCCGGATCCCATCAACTGACTATGCAATCGTATGTAGCAAAACCTTCATCTCAGCCCTTTTGGTCTTTCGTTCGTATGAGCTCTCTCGCTCTCCCAGTCCCACATCTCATTTATTTGTGTTTCGGCTCGTAACTGACACCTTGAAACAGCAATAACGTGAGAATGTATGTTCTTGATCCAAAGGTCGTTTGCATGTATGCGGCTAATGTTGGATACAAATTCACCGGAATGTGTTCTCCCTGTTGCTGCTGCTGCTTTTTGTCCAATTTCCACTTGTTATCTTTTGCGAATAGTTAGTCAAATGGAAAATACACCCATTTAAAAAGCTCAGATTTATCAACTTCTATTCCTCGTTCATTGTGTTTAAGTTCAACAACTGATCCTCGCGCACACAGGGTTATTATCCACCCCTTCCTTACTTTGTAACATATATTTCTCCACCATCCCTTCTGTGCACCTTACTTATCACGCGCGAAAAATTGGGTTAATTTGAGTGGTACTCATCATGCACCAGCATGCGATTACCGCTTTACTTATCTCCCCAACAGTTTGGCCTATATTCATTTTGTTTCATTTCTGGGGAAAACGGAATGATTTGGGTTGTTGCCCGGACAAAAGCAATGGCTTTCTGAAAGAAAGCAAAGCACGATATTTGGTTGACTTTGATATGTTATCTTTCCTCTCATCGCCACCTTAATTCTGTTACAAGTCTATCCTTAATGCCACTTTCTCTCTGTTGCCGCCACTATTACTACTACTTATTTTCCGCCGGTCATCCAATATTGGAATAAAATTTTGTGTTTTCCAAAGCATGCCTTGTATCGCACCGAATCATTTAGGAGACATTCCGCTATATGAAGAACCTTGGTTACTAATCTGCCGTTTGGAAATCTTTACTCTCACTTTTCTAAAACACCAGCTAGGTTGAAATTCTCGGTCAGTGTGTGCGAGTGCGCACGAATGTCGTCCACAAGAAGAGCTGTGAAGTGGTCCGAGGTTCAAGGCAGACGCATCCGATCCTGCCATAGCTCCATGCTGGGATTTGAGGCGGCAACGGGATTGGATGTCACATGATGGCCAGTAGTGCCCCAGGCCCCGTGACACCGAGTGTGCTCTGCTGTCGCGTGGTTTCAGGTTGTTCTTAAGACGAATTGGATATCCCGGAGTGCCTTGATCATCCACCGATGCTGCTAAACGGCTGTGACTTGGTAACCAGGCTACACGCCCAATTCGAACCACCCTCAGACAAACGACTGAATCAAGTAAATTGAGCTGCATCACATGGCCGATAGCACCCCCATAGGCAACAAACAAAGCGGGTCAACTAAGATATCCAATTGACTCCTGTGAGTTAGTGGACTGGGAAGGGCTGACCGCTGGCTATCTGCACGTTAGGGCACCGATTTCGTCTGGAATCGTGTTTTCCATCAGCAAACGGACATTAGTCCACCTTCTTGATGCTTTCATTCTCCATTCGGCATACAACCCTAAATAACGGGCTTCATTTGAGAGAGTACCGTAGTTCGTATTTTATGACATTTCGCGTCACCGAATTCAACGTTCCAGTTGGAAAATATTGAGGGTTTTATGTCGACAGAAACATGAGGAATATGCTTCCCGGGTCGTTGGGACTGTGAAAGAACATCGTCCAACCAGAAACTGAGGCGTCATAATGTCAAATGCCAAGGAGCGTTCAGAGCTACCGTCGCTTGTCCTTCAAGCAGATGCACACCTACGAAAACGCATCTCGGACCAAACCGGTAGGCCAAAGTTTGCGCTGATCACCACTGAGAACGGGTATCGAGGTTTCAGCTCCAAACCACTCCTGTTGTGGGGGTTTCGCCAGCCTGGACAGCATAACTGGTCAATGGTTGGTTCGATGAACCGTGCAAAGTAGTCCTCTAGCGTCCCCGCACGTTTCGAAGAAATATTCCCTCTGGCGGCTTCGTGAAAGGACGTTATTGGATTGTTGATAACAGTCTTGAGAAAGGCCTACTGACTTCAGAATTTGTTTCCTATATTGAAGATGAACCCAGTGGTAGGTCTGGTGTATGAAAAACGCGCAAAATCGTTCAGTCCGGAGGCCACAATCCCACTATAATTAGATTAGACATGTTATGACTACATTTTAGCCTATTGAAACCGGCCTAAATTTATAAAGTGATTACAACGACGACTGAATCCCACGAATAGTTGAGCCCTGTACCCCACAGATGCTGGTGTTGACCCAGATAACTTATCTGACGTGATTCTGAGACTAATAATATCGTTTCGTAAGTTTTACTAAACAGCCAGACTCATTCGCGGAGACTCACTACTAATTCTTCTATACATAAAGCGCCACCATAGTTCCACAGTGCGTCCAAGGCTCCTCTCCGATGGCCTGGAAAACCATTACTTCGAAATTCCTGCTCATCGTTAAGTGCCTGAATTATGTAATGCCGTGAATTTGTGTAGGGCTCAGTCTAGACGGCTGTGCTCGTTTCAAGAGTTCGACTACTTTTATATATGGTCAACTTTCACTCAAACAATCAGAAATCCACATATCCTCGTCGAGTGGACAGTGGTCACGTGGCTAGCCCACTAATATGAACTTGTTTAGTCGTGTCGACGGCTTGGTAACACCAAAACTCGGGAAAATTTTGTGTGGTAAGGGACGATCTGAAAACAAACGGGGGACTGTACAATTTAGAGCTGAATTTTGTGAACTCTAATCCAGTCCTAGTGCATCTGAAGTACATTTGTTCTTTCATGTAGGTGATCGGGAAGTCAGGTCTTTGTGGGATAGGGAACAAGTTTTGGTAACAATCAATTAGTGTGACCATGCATTAGGCCGAAATGTGACAGATTAATTAGCGATACAACGGGGTAGTACGGACTTGCTGCGGGTGAGTAAAGCCTGTAGTGGGCACTCTGGATTTGTTAACCAAAGAATCACGAACCCGGTCCCTCGATGCCTACCTGATGAGTCTCAGCAAGGAAGAGAGACTCCTTAAGGTTGAGAGTTTTGGGATTCTATTTCATATTTTCACCTTCAATCTTGCTGTTCAGGTTCATTTTGGATCTCAATAATTAATCAGAGAAGCAACATGACTCTTCATCAAGAGTCAGGTTTTTTCAATGAGAAGACGTTTTTGTGAAGATTTTGTCCTGTAAGTGAAACCAATCTATGCTGAAAAGCCCGAGAAGCACTGTACAGCTGTTTCAACCTTATTGGAAATCATCAGCAGTGCGAATCTCTCGAAACCCCAGGGAGGCTCGAACCCACGACTTCCTGACTAGTGGTTTGAACACTTAGTTATTCGGACACAAGCGGCCAATCAGTAGTGTGATTAACTCGCACCTAGACAGGATATAGCGCCGCTCACCCTTCGATCACGGGATCTACATCACGCGGTCACACGTGTTGAGTGGCTCCTCGAGCAGCGACTTCTCATATGGAAGATTTACTCACCGGGTGAAGTTTATTCTTCCGCTGAGCTACTTATGGGGATAAAACAGCTGTACAGTGCTTCTCGGCTCTCAGCATGGATTGGCTTCATTCGCAGGAAGAAATCTCCACAAAAAACCTAAATCTCACGCTGCCAACAAGAAGACTTTTTGTAAATCAGGGCTTCACGATCTGTTTCGCGCAGTGCATCCCTTTCGGCATATGGTGAGAAGCCATTCCCGTGTCCGAGTATTGCTGAGCCGCGCTGTACAAGCGGCACTCATGAATATTGGATAGAAGTAAAGCAAGTTTCTAGCTTATGTCCTTATGTTGTAATCCGTAAACGGAACAAAACATAATTAAGGCGCTGTCGGTGTCGGGTGACTTCCTGCTTGGATTCATTCAGCTTCATGCCGGTCGGACAGATCTATGGCGAAGCGGCTGGGTACCAGGGAAAACTTGTCCTGATTGGAGTATGGCCGGTCAGAATCGAGCCGCTTTAGCTCCGTATTTCCTGCCCCATCATGATGATTCTGGCGTGGCAATGTGGATAGTTCTGCGAATTTTGTTAATGTGAGAAAATTTGAGGATTTTCAAATGAGGTTTCATCCTGCAAATTAAGTCAATCTATTCTGCAAATCCGAGGAGCTTGGTTGAACTGTTTCATCCTTTATTGGCAAACATTTTCAGTGAGCATCTCACGAAACACTAGGAAATTTCGAACCCTCCACCTCCCGGATATCAGCTGCGTGATTAACTCGAACCTAGGCGGGATGTAGAACCACTCATCCTTCAATCATGGGAACCAAATAGCATGGTCGCAACGATGTAATCCCAATTTCAACTTCTCAAATTTCTTTTCATTGCCAACAGTCTGTAATTGTCGTAGAGAAGAAACAATAGCACAAGATGAGTGGAACCTTCATTCGAAAAGTCATCACTGTTGGTGCTGCCGGTGGCCAAGCGGTTGTCTTCACGGGCTGAGTGCCGGTGGTTCTCAATACAAATAAAACAGGTGTACATTGCCTTCCAACTTTTCAGAAAAGATTTATTTCACTTAGAAAATTAAGGCTCAATTAGGAACTGTGTGATTGCTTTGTAAGCTCAGCTTCAGTGATTTTGATCTGTTTCACTAAAAACTGTCCGAAGTTGGCACGACTGGTGTCAAGTCAGATCAGTTTGTCAGTTTCCCAATTTTGTCATTCAAAACCAAGTTTTTAAAAAAACGACGAGCTAAAAGCGGACTTATCAAAATTCATCTTCAATGTCGTTTACAATGACGCCGATGATGCTCAACGTGGTCTGTGTCACAGACCATCGACGGAAAGCGCAAAATGTGCTGGCACTTCTCGACTACGGGAGCTGTAAAAAGACCAGTTTGCAATCGGATGCCGTAGTCCCACCGAAAAACACATATTCTAGGGAAAGTACGGAGCCAGCCTCTTAATGTCTTAGTAGGTATCTTATTAGTAACGTTTTTATTTTTTTAATGCGCCTGTATTAATTTTAGGAACTGTTAGCAGTCATATCATTGCAAACTACTTGGGGTTATTAAGTAGCTAAATAAATGAACAAATTAACTAAACCCACTAAAAGCGAATTTCTCTTTTCAGGAGATTGTTCCCTATTTCCATATATGCACAAGCGCTTCGTAAAACCATAATCTACCATAACGGCAAAGTGGGATGATGTTTGCGATCAATACTGAATCTTTTCGAATTTATCTTAGAGCCGCGTGGGACAATCTTCCCTAGATTCCCAGGATCCGATTAAACGCGAGATGGGTCGACACCTAGTACCACCACAATGTTGCGGTTCAAAGGCGGGACTAGCAAGAGAAAATCATAAGGCATATGACGTTAGGGCAAGAGTGCATCTGCGTGGACCAGGAATTAGCCCACCGGCCGGACAGACTGACGCATCAAAAAGTGAGGAGTCCGGCCACCCATGCATAAACAAAGGTTAAGTGATGAAACCTAAGTATCATTACTTTGACCAACCACAGCATTGTAGAAGAAGGTAGAAAGCCATACGCGAATATATACACCAAGTCAAATGATTTTCGTAGGAGGCGTGGAACGCGCATGCGACCAAAAGAGTCCTAATAATAGTAATAATAATAATAATAATAATAATAATAGATTTACTTCTCAACTTTTGGGGAACATGACATTTGAGGCCTGATCGTGCCGTCAAAACTCGAAAGCCCCCGGCAACAACACCCTGGTGAGGAAAGTGTAATCAATGAGACACGCTCACTACGTGGAAAGTCACGGTAGTTGTGGGAACCAAAAAATAGAACGATGGGGCATGAGATACGACTAGTTCAATGATGAAGCCAGTTGACTTGAACTAA